ACACACACACACACACACACACACACACACACACATATATATGGCTTCTCCATACATATATATTTACTTATATATTTACATTTGCCGTGGTTAGACATGCAAAAACAGTAGGGGTGTGAACCTACACTGGTCTCACGGTTTGGTTCGGTTACGATTATCATGCCATCAATTAGTTTCAATTCGATATCTCGGTGCATCACGGTGCATTGACATGGCTTTCCATACATTATTAGATTTTTATCTTTACAACATAATATTTTTTTATTAAAATGTGTAAATATATAATAATATTTATATAGAATTTGTAATACAATTTTGTCTTTTAATACAAGCAGTTGGATATATGAACTGTACCTTTAATTTTATCAGCTCAAAGAAAACACTCTTTTTGAATGTTTCAAACAAAACTCTGATAAATGCACAGACGACAGCATGAGCATTCATAGCAAATAAACTAATGTAAATATTATCCTGCTTGCTTTTTGAGCGCTGTCAAGCGCGGTCTTACTCCCTTATGGTTGGTCATTGTCTTTACCCAATCAACAGAAAGGGTTACGATTGGCTCTAAAAATGAAAGCGCTGTTCACCGATGGCGGAAAGAACAGTCGTGGTCACAGTCTATATGCGCACAATACGCAGTTATCACAGGTCATCCATAACAGACACAGTGGAGAAAACTTGCACCACAGGCACTAAGCACTCTCGTGTCTGGATCCACAAGTATCGCTTTAACAGCCAAGAGGAGAGGAAAAGTTAACTCACAAACATGTTAGTGGTTCAAATGTCTAAAATGAAAGAGAGAGGCAGAGATGGAGTTTGACAGCATTTCTCCCTAGTAGTGAAATAGCCGCTCGTGTGCTCTGCCTTTATCAGTGTCAATGATAGACTGTTCAGCAAACTCACAAGCAGTTGAACTGTGCATAATTATCTTCCTTTTAAGTAGTAGGAGTGTTTTATTTACTCGCCCTTCACCAAAGTATTCTACTGCGACATCGTGCATAGGAGATAAATGACATCAGTACGTAATAACCGGTTATGATCTATTACTTGACCAATATCAAATTGTCCCTAACTGCATCGTGGTGCACCAAAGAAACACTTATTTTTTAATTAATTAATTTTTGACACCCATAAAAACAGCACAAAATTAAACGTGTATGTGTGTGTATACAGAAAACCTTGTAATGCCATTTGTGTGTGGCTCATTCATGGTTGCAGAAAGGCTGAATTAACTACCAACTACATGAAATAATCATTTGGAAACTTCCTGGTTCATTGTTAGGGTTATTTCTCACTAGGGCTGTAAAAGACATGTAGGCAGAGAAGGCAGAGAAGACCAGGGCCGTGCAAAAACTTAGCAGCCTTTCACAAAGAACTCTGAAAACAGAAATAGTTTGACCATGTTGTCACATCAACTTGGTGCACAGCGACTTGTGGGCAACTCTTGCCCTGCCTCTGAGATCTTTTGATTGGTTCTGATATGGCCCGTTTCCACTGAGTGTTACGATACGGTACCACTTTTTCCGGCATATCTTCGAAAGGGTACCAAACACGGGAAAGGCGGAGCTAGACGCGCAGCTGAACACTATTGGTTTACAGAGATACAGTCGAGAGATTACAGCGGAACTACATGTAAATAATAAGCCATGGTCAACCCGGGCTCAAACAAACCTTGTCGTCGTCTTGATGAACAGCCACAACGCCAAAAAGAATAGCAGATTTTTTACATTTTTTACAAGCCAGTCTGAAATACGAGCAGTTTCGCGCAGTTAGTCAAATCATGTTTATAGAAAAGTTAGTAATAAACATTTATACACAAGTATTTATGTGTTTAAAGCATCTGTTTTGTAAGAAGTGCTTCTCATATGATATGTAAACGACCCGTACAGCTTTACTGTACACATTTTCTTGAGCGAAAATGATGTTGACTGAAACTTTTTTTTATCATACACTACACCCACCAAAAGGGTAGTGGAAACGCAAGCCTGATAAAGGTGACCCGTACCGACCAGAATTGTAGCGTACTGTACCAGTCAGTGGAAAGTGGAGTGGAGTGCCTGAGCACCACTCTTGTCTGAGATGCTGCAGAAGACACAAATGTCTCACACATGTCTGTCAACCGCATTTACATAGAGAAGCATATGAGTCTTTTTCTCTACACAAACACACACACACACACACACACACACACAAACACACACACACAAGATTGAACAGTTCAATCAGTTCAGTTCAACAGATCAGTGTGAGCATTTTCACAAAAGAGATTTCAATGTTGAAGCTTACTGAATTTATGTACAATTACCGGTACTGTTTTTGTTGTTTGGAGACGGTTGTGCTTAATATTTGAAAATTTAATAGGCAGTCTAATTATATTTAATTTTTTATTATTCTGTTTAATTTGTACTTTAGCATCACAAGTAGCTTCTCAGTTCTGAGGCAACACTTTTGCCTGTTCAAAATAAACAGAAAAAACAAGCATTATGGATTTGTAATTATTCCTGTTGCACTGTACCCGTATCAAACTGTGATCACAAATCCAAGGTACATACTGAACCATGATTCAGTGTACTGTTACACCCCTATTGCACGCTGAAAAGAAATTTTCACCTCTTTGAACTTTGACCTCAGGTTGTATCAATTGTATTGATACACTGCCTCTGAAACTTTGGTCTATTATAAGATCAGTTTTAGTTTTTTCAGCTATTTTTTTAGCATTCGAGAAAGCAATTTGAGAGGTGTTTTGACAGATCAGAGCCACATTAAAGAGAACGGTAAGCAAAGAGAACCAATGCTGTTGAATACTGTAGCCTGGATTTAGTGCCTGTCGCACCTCTCAGTATGTGTGCGTCCCACTGTGTGGGCGTGTATGTCTGTGCAGGTGTCTGTCTGACTTACTGCCAGTCTCTGTTTAGGATTCGTTTACGGATGAAAATGTGTAACACAAACAAAGTATCAAAATTCCACTGATTTCCTGAAATAAACTTTGCATTTCGAGATAATCCCACGCAGCTGTTTATTAAGAAGGTGAACTCTCTTCCTCTTTGTGCCGTGCATTAGATAAATATGATATTTTCCATCTTTCTTTTTCTATTTTGAAAAGTAACAAAGCATCACTGCTTGAATTGTTGACTAGAATTAAATTTGCAGACGATGTTGTTCTGTTGGCTTCATTGAGCATGGACCCTCAGCATCACACAGTGGAAGCCACTCAGCTCAGATGAAATAAAGCAAAACTCTTATGAAAGATACAAATAATTAACACACACAGCAGGAGTTTCACGTTCATATAAGATGTGAATGCTCTGCAAACTCCACTGAGATCATATACTGGCTAGTTATTAGCAACATTACTATATATTAGGATTGGGTTGAAAAAAATTTATTTTAATTAATCTGACAGAAGATCATAATGGAAGTCCCAGCCAAAATCTATAGTCTGATAGATGGAAATATGTCATGTTTTAAGGAATTGTAAAATGGTAAAAAAAGAAAAATGGACAAAGCCACTGTCACTGTAACATCAGGAGTTGGGTGACAATGGAGGTGAAGGTCCAAACGCAGTTTACACAGCATCATGCAGGCAATGGTCAAAACAGGAGCAAACAGTATCATAAGAAGAATCCAAAAGTGTCATCATGGTCACAGGCTCTGTTATTCACAGACGATGTTGTTCTGTTTGCTTCACCAAGCATGGAACTTCAGCATGCACTGGGGAGGTTTGCTGCGAGTGTGACACAGCTGGGATGAGTTTGTCCGAGGCCATGATGCTTCACCGAAAAAAGGTGGTTTGATAGATCGGTTAGATCGGTGCAGCGGCAGCAGTTATGCAGTTGATGTACCAATCCACTGCGGTGAAAAGGAGCTGAGCTGAAAGGCAAAGCTCTCAATTTACCAGTCCTACTTTCACCTCTGGTCATGAGCTTTGGTTCATGACCGAAAGGACAAGATCTCGGATACAAGCAGCCGAAATGAGTTCCCTTGGTGGCAGGGTGCACCCTTATAGATAGGGTAAGGAGCTCTGTCAGAGGGAAAAACTTGAGAGAAGTCAGGTGAGGTGGCATGGGCATCTGTTTTGGATGCCTTCTGGATGCCTATCTAGGAAGGTATTCCAGGCATGTCCACCACAATCAGGCCTTGGGGAAGTCTCTTAGCTGGCCTCTGGTGTTGAGGAAGTCTCTCAACTGCCCTGGGAATGCCTCGGGATCCCCTGGAAGAGCTGGAGGAAGTGTCTGGGGAGAGGGAAGTCTGAGGTTCTCTCCTAAGACTGCTGCCCCCACGACCCTGGCATGGAAAAGCGGATGAAAATGAGGATTTCATTGATTTCATTTTTGTTTTGTTTTGTCAACGAATAACCTAAAATGAATTAGACTCAGTCAGCATGTGCAAGGTTTGTGTCTATGACAATTTTTTTCATATATGAAAACCAAAAAAAAAAAGCATACAAAAATTTCAGACTGCAGTGTGCAAAGATCTTAACTATGGTATATTTGACTTAAAAACTGGATCTCTGCTTATTCCATATCTGAGTCACTGCCTGTGACTGTCATTGTGCTGTTTTTATCTGACGTCTCATCTGACAAATGAGGCGCAGACATGTTGGTACAATGGGTGGGGGAACCAACTCATTTGCATTTATAAGCACAGGCGCAAAACAGCAACAATTTCCTCTGACCCCAAAATTGACATATTCAGCACGGTATAAAAAATGATCCGATTGGTATTTTGAGCTGAAACTTCACTTAGAGATTCTGGAGACACCAAAGACGTGCTTTAAATCTTGTAAAAGGAGGAAAATTGTAACCCTTTAACAATTTCAAACCCATTTAGCCGATTTCTGGTTCTGGAAGAAATCACTTTAAGGTCAGCTTAGAATCGGCCATTAAATCACATTAGACCACTCGAATAAAATAATTAGATAATAATAGATAAAATAGTTTGATAATTTTCCAAATAGGTGGCATATGTAGTTCTTCGGCTAATTTTTTTTCCTTCCATAGGCTGGTTCTTTGAATGTTTCCTGAAAAATGGGTGGCTTTCATGTGACCGTTCGAACCTCAGCATTCCCTGTCTCAGGAACGTATAGCAGTGTTTGGATTTCTTTGATTGGTTCTCTGTGCGAAAGTCCTCCAATCAAAGTGGAACACCGTCTCCTTCCCGGATCGGTAAGACTTTGAGCTTTTTCAGAAAACAACGCATGCAATTATTAATAGGTTTAAAGTCTTCATAAATCAAAATATAAATCTGTTTACTTTGTTAGTGCACACTTGAAAATGTAGTTCGTTTGATGGCTCAAGCAAATGATGGCAGGAAGGAGAGCTAAAATAAAACAAAATTTAAATATATTTAAATTATATAACACCTGCAGCTGTTAGATGAACTACCGGAAACTTTTTGATTGTGCTCACACACATTTAAGAAAGTCATGCTTACTGTTTGTTCAAACTACATATTTCAAATGACCTGAATCAACATAGTTTTGAGTTTTTTTTAGCGACAACTTAACTTAATTTCTTCATATTGTCTCAACACAAATCGACTGTGTGCAGCATTTTTTACAGTTCATGTTCATTTAAAAAGAAAAACATGTTTAAAATGGAAACAAATTGTTTAATTTGCTGTGATATTGTTTTACAAATCAAATTTTGCACAAATATGTCTGGGTATCACTGACATCTAACAATGATTTGAGAAGGAAAACGTATATCTTAACAAATGATCAAATACGCATATTCTGTGTCACTGGTTACTGCCCAACACTGCAAAATGTAAATATATGCTGCTATTTACTTTTAATAATAAAAAAAACATTCAAATTACAATAATTAATGTATGTACACTGCAAAAAATGCTTTTCTTGCTTAGATTTTTTGTCTTGTTTCTAGTCCAAATATGTGAAAATTCCTAAATCAAGAAGAATTTTCTAGACAAACAAAACATATTGTCTTGTTTTGATAAATAATTCGCCAATAATAAGTGAGTTTTTCCTTAAAACAAGCAAAATAATCTGCCAATGGGGTAAGCAAAATAATCTTACGTCAAAAGAAAAAACAAGATTATTTTGCTTACCCCATTGGCAGATTATTTTGCTTGTTTTAAGGAAAAACTCACTTAATATTGGCATATTATTTCTCAAAACGAGACAATATGTTTTGCTTGTCTAGAAAATGCCTCTTGATATAAGAAATTTTAGATATTTAGACTAAAAACAAGACAAAAAATCTAAGCAAGAAAAGCATTTTTTGCAGTGTATGCTTAATCATATGAAGAGTTCAGATGCAAAAACCTCTTAAGTGCCATCTGAAATTTTCTTAGAATATTAGCATGTTTCTCAGGCTCTCACTTCTTGGGCTCTATTTTGACGGCCCATGCGCAGAGCGCAAAACGCAGGGCGCAAACGCTTTCAGGGTGTGTCAGGACGCGTTTTTTGCTAATTTAAGGACGGGAAATCTGCCTTGCGCCGCGGCGCATGTTCTAAAAGGGTTGAGTTTATTTTCTTAATGAGTTATAGGTGTGTTTGGAGAATAAACCAATTAGAATCTCATCTCCCATTCCCTTTAAGAGTCAGCTGCGTCACGCCAAGAGCGCATTCGCTATTTACAGGACGCAAAGTAAGTCTAAGTGGAAAAAAATTGCATTTTACAAGCAAACAGTTCACAGTTAACAGTTTTTTGTAACAGAAACTGTTAAACAGAGCATCTACTGCGTGAGAATGAGAGATAATGGATCACTTTCACTTTCGCTCTTGGATAGGGAAACCTTTACGCACAGACACAAATTAGTCTATAAATAAATACTTTTGTTTGTTAAGCGCAAATATTCGTTTCAAAACTATTTCTAAATTCAGTTCTAATTTCTAGCAAACGAATAAATGAATAATAATAGCAAAATGTGCTCTAAAACCTGAGTTATATCCTAAAACACATGATGTGCCCCATATGGTCTAAAACCTGACAGGTGGGCAAATCTAAGCTTGTTTTCAATAAAACAAATATAAATATGGATATAATGAATAATACTCCTTATAATAATAACATTATACAAAAGCAAATTGTTATGAATGAACTGAAAAAGCCTCCCGAGATGAAGAAGACATAAAAGCAGTGGTTTTTCATATTTATGTAGGCTAGAAAATAATATGTTTTGTAATATTTTAATCCTTTATATTTATATTCTATATCTATTCTTATTATATCCTATATATATCCTTAATATTTAAATTTTTTCATATGTAAAGATATTTGCCTATTGCTCTCTTGTGCGTATTAAGCAGTGCGTAAGTGAGGCGCAACTTTGCGCCAGAGTTTACACCGGGTTAGTTTTGGTGTAATGAAAAATCTATTATAGATTCTCAAAATAGCAACGCGCCAGCGGTCCGCCTCAGAACGCCTTCCTTTTTAGACCAGACCGCCTATGGGCGCACAAATGAGCACTAATGCATTTGCTACTTAAACAGCGTAGCGCAACGCCTCAAAACGACTCTTGCGCCAAGCTGAAACTACCAAAAGACTACTGCGCCACGCCTTGCGCCACACTGCGCCGGGGTGTATGATAGGGCCCCTTAATTCAGTAAGTTTCCTTTCATGTCAAAAAATAGGTTATTTTCATCACTTTCAACATGTAATTAAGGAACATAAACATAAGAGGTGGAGAAAATGCTCATTGTAGAAGAAAATTACAGATTTGCACCTCAACTCTTCATTTCTTTTTTTAAACAGGCCTGTACAGTTGTCATAATGCCAGAAGAGGAAGTTGGCATTTTGGTTTTGGTGAAACTCCGCCTTGAGGCTAAGCCTGGGTTTCCAGACTTGGATTGGCACTGCCAGGATGTGCAGGTGAAACAGAGTTCCGAAGATCCAGAGATGGAGGTTTTTCCCTGCAATAAATGGATCCGAACAGCAGATGGTCACATTATACTTCATAATGACAAAGGTGAGCTGTTACTGTTGCCACCAATAAAAACCAAGTCATTTATGTTTAAGTAATTGTTTATTCATTTATTAAAGTGCCCCACTTATGCTGTTTTTAACCTGAAGACCTTAAGGTTTTTTAGGTTTGAGTAAAATGTTAATATTTGATTTATTCAGTGAAAGCCTGTTTACATTTGTTGCAATAAAAGTAGCATAACTGGGACACTTTTAAATGTTTATTTCACTAATTTCATATCAAAATCTTTCAATCTTTCAATCTTTCCCAAAAATACCTATTAGTGTGCTTGAAAAAGGAGGAAACATTAGAAGTCTTAACCAATCACAGGGAGAAGGATCTCCAATGTAAACAACAAATTATCAAGTAAATCATTTTCACAACACAATCATTTTGTGTTTGTGTTTTGATACTTTTTGTATCATATCATTAAATAAGGAAGCTGTTTATTTCATCTGTAGATGGGGTACATTTGCTGAAGGTAGTCCTCACTGTATAGCCATGACCAGCGTGGCTGATCTAGGACCTAATTTGAGTTACATCCGGAAACGGTATGGATTTGTTTCATAGCAAAGTGGTTTGATTTTAATTCTTTATTATATCATCTGAACTGAATTTGACAATGGCGTTTTGTTACTCTGTTTGTCTGTCAGCCCAGTTACCAATGTTCACTACATTAAGGGATTTATTGAGAGAAGAACATCCTGGAGAAGCCTACAGGAACTGGAGACAGTCTTCCTTTTTAGTGGAAGCGAGAACATGATTGCCAGTATGCCAACAATTAAAATTTAAATTTATATATATATATATATATATATATATATATATATATATATATATATATATATATATATAGGACCTATATATATATATATGTGTGTGTGTGTGTGTGTGTGTGTGTGTGTGTGTGTGTGTGTGTGTGTGCGCGTGCGTGCGTGCGTGCGCGAAAGAAGAATGAATATGCTCACCGGCTACTATATTAGGTATACATTTGTAGTACAATTGTAAATCCATGTTTGCCCTCAGAACACTTAAATTTTTTGTGGCACAGGTTCAACTAGACGCAGGAAATATATTTTTTTTTTACATTTTGGTATATATTCTGATAATTTGTCAGCTGGATATCCATGATGTGAATCTGCCAATCCAGGGTGACTGAAATTATTTGCCCAGGGAACTGAGAAATATGTATCGGGAACTACGTCTTCTTTCAGTTTTGTTTTTTTAGAAATCCACTAAGTTCAATATCATTTATGCATATTGTCCATGAGAGAAGATGATTGGCTTGTTTATATCATGAATAATATATCAGCTTGATAACGACTGACCCACCCATTGTGCAACATTTTTCCAATGAACCTGTGACGAAGTCTGCTCTTCTAGCTCATCCCAAAGGTGCTTTATTGCAGAAATTCTTGAATTGTTCTCTAGGAAACCACATTTTAACATTCCAAAATAATTATTGATCCCTTAAAAAGCCTAGCAGACAAGAGTTTGAATTTCAACATTTAGATTTTTAATAATCAAAACAACCGAGGAAAAAATATTATTAATAATGGCCAGATTTCACATGAACAAAAACAAGTTGTTTGGTTGACTTACAAACCTAATCTAGTAAGATTTACTCTGTTCAAGTAACATTTTGGTTGTTTTTTAATCCACAATCACATTTTTTATTTTTTCATATTTTCAACAGTGCATAGCTCAGTCTAACTTTGGCTGTTGTGTGACCCAAACTATGGTCTAAACAAAAACTGTAGATACTTTGAATGAAATTGTAAACATTAGAGTTCTGTAAACTCATTGTCATGTTCAAGAAGCCATTCTGAGATTATTTGAGCTTTGTGGTCTGTGCTATCCAGCGGAAGTAGCCATTACTAGAGTGTTTTAAATAGGTTCACAGTGTACCAAACAATGTCTCTCGCACCACCATCAGCCTGAACCACTGACACCAAGCAATAGACTGATCTATGCTTTCATATTGTTTACACCAAACTCTGCCTCTATAATCTGAATGTGATAGCAAAAACCAAGACTCATCAGACACAGAAACATTTCCCCTCAAGTGATTTATAGCTTCAGTCTGCTATCGTTTCTGCTGCTGTAGCTCATCTGCTTTAAGGTTTAATGTGTTGCGTGTTCAGAGATGCACTTCTGCAGACCTCAGTTGTAACAAGTGTTTATTTGAGTCACTGTTGTCTTTTCATCAGCTGAACCAGTTATTTATCTCTGATCTTTAGCATCAACAAGGCATTTTCAACCACAGAACTGACACTCACTAGATGTTTTCTCTATTGCAGACTCTATTTTACACTCAGTGTACAGAGTGTAAAAATCCCAGTAGATCTGGAGTTTCTGAAACACTCCATGCATCCATATTATTAATGATTAGATTTTTGGGTTGATGAACAAATGAACAGGTGTACCTAATAAAGTGGCCTTTGAGTGTAAATATATTAAATACAGATTTAAAAACTTCACAAACAATTTGTCTCACAGAATATGTTCAGGCTCACTGGCAGGAGGACGCATTTTTTGGATATCAGTGCCTCAATGGCTGCAATCCTCTGTGTGTCAGACAGATCCACCATCTGCCACCTAACTTTTCGGTCACTTCAGAAATGCTGAAATCTTTTCTGCCAGAGGGCTCATCGCTGGATCAAGAGATGGAGGTGGGCTTGTGTGGATTTATGTTTTGGATTTATCATTTTGTAACATGCTAGTCAATATTTGTAACTATTTTGCACAGAAAGGACGTGTGTATCTTCTGGATTATGAAGTGCTGGATCAGCTGCCTGCTAACACCGTCAATGGCAAACAGACTTATTTGTCTGCTCCTTTGTGTCTGCTGCATTACAACCAAGATGAAGAACTAAAACCTATTGCTATACAAGTAAGCACAGTTTCAATCAGAACAAAAATTTCATTTGACTGAATTTTAATGGCTACGTGAAAAGTGATAATCCTAATATTTCAGCTTCAGCAGGTTCCTGGTCCACAGAATCCTATTTTCTTGCCGTCTGATGCCCCACCAGACTGGTTGTTAGCAAAGATGTGGGTCCGTAATTCAGATTTTCAGATTCATCAGCTACTTTCGCATTTCTTTCGGACTCATCTTTTAGGAGAAGTGTGCTGTACGGCCACGCTCAGGCAGCTGCCAGAGATTCATCCTCTATTTCAGGTAGCTTATTTTTAATGCTGTGTTAAAATGTGTTTTCCACAAACTCAAGGTCAGGAAAACACTAGAATAAAAAGCGCTAGCACTCCAGTTTAAGTACCAATTCCCACTGTTAGAGGTGCAATTGGAAATCTTGAAAAATGCTAACGTTAGCCTGATAGCGCTGAATTACCACCCTGAAAAATGCCTCCTAAAAACATGAATGTGCACTAATCACTGCAATACATCATGTAACTTTCACCAGAGAGAAAACATTATACAGTTGGTAATTACAAAAAACAAACTTTTATAACAGCAAAATCAAAACAAAACTTAAAAAATACTTTTGATGGGCAGGGAATGGAAAGAATTCCCTACTGAAAAAAACAGCTTAAACCAGCCTAGGCTGGTTTAAGCTGGATTTTTCCACAGGGAAGACAACAAAAATGATAATAATTGCTATGTAACATCTAGACAAAGTGAAAGACTAAACACAAGGGGGTATATATGGAACACACTGCTGAAAACAATATGTATATAAGAAGAGAAAAGGGTTCTGGGAACTAAAGTCAACAAACACAACAAAGAGACATACAAACAGAGGGGTATTGCATAAAAGTGGAATCAAGAAAGCCAGGATAAACGAAAAAGTGTAATGTTGATAGGCAGGAAGAGTGCACATTCGTGGCATTTGTTAACAGACCTCTGGATCGATCACAGAATTAATGATGCAAATATGGATAAAACCTAATGTGAGCCCATCAGGTAACGAGTTGAAAAACACCTCTCTTGCCCAGCAATTTGGGAACTCATATTAGTTTCATTCAGAGAATAAACAGAAACAAATAGGGATGCATATTAACAAATCACAGCCGTTCACTTTGTCTTAAATGTAAATCTTGGCATGGCGCCCCCCATGGAAGAATGAATGTAGCAGAAACCATGCATTTATTACCTCCATTCATAATATGTTCTTTGAACTAACTATACAGAAGATTAAAGATGGTATGGTGTCTTGTACTTATTACCTTGCAGTGTTTGCACGTAGTATTTGTACATCTTGGGTCTGCACTTAATTTTATACGATGACGATAAAGATTTTATTCTATTTTTAAATTCCTAAAGATTATAAACAAATTAATCTTTTTGCTTGTTTGTTTCAGCTCTTAATGCCTCATATCCGCAGCACTCTTCAGATTAACATTCAGGCTAGAGCGACACTTCTAGCTGCAAATGGTGTTTTTGACAAGGTTGGCGAGTTTATTCTTCTCTGTATGCTCCATGAAAGAAAATCATTTACATTTAATTCCATATTCTTTCTCTTTGTTGTCTCTAGTCAGTGGCCTGCGGTCTGGAGGCAATACCACAGCTTTTTACTCGAGCGACCCAGCGTCTCCGCTACAGCTCTCTGTGTGTGCCAGATGATGTGAAAGAGCGAGGCCTGGATGCTCTGCCGGTCTGTTATTATGCTCAAGATGCTCTCAGAGTCTGGGATGCTTTACACAGGTACTTGATTCACAATATATGAGTCGGCATCTTAAGGTTTGAAGTGGTCACATGATCTTTGCTGTTTAGGTTTGTTGCAGGCTGGACTCGCTTGTATTACTGCAGCGATGAAGACGTCCAGAGTGACTGTGAGCTGCAGAACTGGATTGGAGAGATCTTCAGGGAGGGTTTCCTCGGCCTCACTCACTTAGGTGCACGGAAAGATCTATCGCACATTTTGTACCCATGTATAGGTGACATTTATTTGTACTGCCTATTTCTTACATACAGCGTCCTGTTAACAATAATACATTTTAGTTTTATAACAGCATTTTAGAACCAAACAACCCAGATTTACACTGGCGTTTCACCTAGCGTTTCTGAAATGCTCTCCATCCAAACTATACAGCTGAAAACCTACATCACGTGACCACACATACTCTCTGGCATGCACTGCACTGTATGCGGAGGTCTGAGCTCCAGGCAGACAGCGAGTGCTTTGAGCACACCTCCCCAGGTGTTAGTAGCGCAAGTCAGACAGTTCATCAATATCATATATACCACTGGATCTCATCTCACTATAGTTGTTAAACGTGATATTTAATTAATCTTGTTTCTATCCAAACAACCCTTTGATCTTTTGAATCTATTACTTGTTCTCAGGTAACATGTTTTGGCTAAGCACAAAGATAAGTTAATATAGTAAGTAATGTAACCACGTACACTGATTCTGCACACATTACTGATTACTTGACTTTATTTCCTATATTGTTTAAACTTATTGTTTGTTATACTTTTATAACGGCCATTATTGTTAAGTAAAACTGATATTAAGCAAAAGAGAGGGTATGTTTTGTATTGATCAATAAAAATGAAAGGAGGCAGTTATGTTATAGGCTTCATTGTGGTATAAATTTGCATATTGTGAAGATGACAGTCATATAAATATTTAGCTACAACATTTTTAACTCCTCAACATTTTTGGTGTCTGTTAAGTTGTTAATGCCAAAATTAAATCATCCTTAAATCATGTCTTCATTTTGTTGTTAACATGTGAAATAACATAGCCACGGTGATGTGAATGAGGTTATAAAGTACACTTTTCCCTTTGATTATTTACCGGACGTGTCCTCGTGAGTTTGATTTCCAAGTGTGAACTTAGAAGGAAAGGATGCAATACTGAACTTTGTGCACTTAATATTGAGAAAAAGCCCCAGTCAGATGTCTTTCAGATGTCTCCTTTTTCCCCTATCCACACTGACATGGAACAACAGCGTTTTTAAACAAAAACGGCCTCTTCAGCATTTTCAAAAAGCTCTGTTTTCAGGGCTGGATAATTCCAGGGTAGTGTGGATGGGAGGTGTAACCATAGCAAAACTTATGCATTTCGAAACTAAAACATATTAGTGTAAATGGGGCCTTAAAGGGATAGTTCATCGAAAGATTTACACTTGCACACTATTTACTCACCCTGGAGTGGTTCCAGAACTTGAAGTTTCTCTTTAAGTATTTTGCTGAACAAAAAATAAGATGTTTTAAAGTAAGTTGAAGCATCAGTAACCATTGCCATTCATAGTAGGGAAACAAATACTATGGTAGTAGTGGTTACTGGTTTCAATCTCTCTTTAAAATATCTTCTTTTGTGTTGAATAGATGAAAGAAAGTCATATACAACAGTTTTGGCTGAACTATGTCTTCAATGCATTTTTTTTAATCACAGGCAAGAAAACATCCCGAATACACTTCTAAATGTTTATTTTGTTTTTAATCAACTTGTCTGTAGATTTAAATTACAATACATATATTTAAAGCTGGCAACACGGTGGCGCAGTAGGTAGCAAGAAGGTTGCTGGTTCGAGCCTCGGCCGGGTCAGTTGGCATTTTTGCGCCGAGTTTGCATGTTCTCTCCGTGTTCGCGTGGGTTTCCTTCAGGTACTCCATTTTCCACCACAAGTCTAAAGACATGCGGTACTGAAGGTGAATTGGGTAAGCCAAATTGTCCATACTGTATGTATGTGTGGGAATGAGTGTGTATGGGTTCCCCAGTGATGGGTTGCAGCTGGAAGGGTATCTGCTGCGTAAAACATATGCTGGATAAGTTGGCGGTTCATTCCGCTGTGATGACCCTAGATTATTAAGGGACTAAGCCGAAAGGAAAATGAATGAATGAATGAATGAATATTTAAAGCTTGCTTAAAGTCTTTTTTCACCTGCACTAAAACAAACATTTTTACTAAAAATGTCCACTTCTGCAGCTCTTGCATAAATGTTTTATTAAAATCTGTATTCTGAAGTTTTTTTTAAACAAGGATTGTGTTCATTCATTTAAAAATAAGTATTCAAAAAATAAATACTCATAATAAATACTCATAATAAAAGCTACATTATGCTTAAATGAAAAATTCAGTATTTTAAAGAAAATATTTGATGTTTCATTTGTATGCTTGATTGTGCTTAATCACAGAAGATAAGATTTTCCTTTTCATTATCTCAGACACTCGTACATGTCATAAAACTTCACATCAACTTCATTTATTCTTCACAGACATGAAAAAGGCATATAATAATCTTCACATCATGTTCTCTAGGAGTCCCACAATCCTTTCAGACGGCAGCTGAAATGTGCAAGTTTGTTACGATGGTGATCTTCTCCTGCTCAGCACTTCATTCAGCCGTGAACTTCTCTCAGGTATCTTCAGTTATTAATACATGGTTAAAAGCAGGAGCAGGTTTTCAGATTCACTAAACCCTTCCTCATCCCCCACCCCCCAGCTGGATTTTAACCTTTGCATACCAAACACTCCAGCGACCATGTCTCGTCCCCCATCTCAAACCAAAGGCTCAGTGTCCGAGGAGGATCTTTTGTCCTTTCTACCAGAGGTCAACTCCTCCTGCCACGTCCTTAGCGTCCTGTCTCTTCTGTCACAGCCTGCTATTGACTTTGTGAGTATCCACATGAAAAAAGCTATATGTATAGTAAGTTATATAAAGATTCTGAACTATACTATAGGAAAGTACTTGGATTTAATCTGTTGTGGCAATTCTGTGGTACAGATGCTGTGGTAAAACAAAAACAATGGTAATATAAACAAACTACCCAAAACACATTGTTTTCTACAACTATAGGGTAACATATATCACAATACACCACAGTTTATTGTTGTAAAATCTATACCATACTGCAGTGTTTATTATAATTAAGTATTAATCAGTTAATCATAGCATTCATTAACAAAGTTTTGTAAATACTATAATATGTAAAAGATCATCATAAGGTTGCCATGCGTTAAAATGATTTTAAATGCAAGATGTGGAGCGAAGCAAGGGTGGTTGGATCCTTTAACACACAACAACTGTTGATTATGCTGCTTACTGTTCATTTTTATAGACAAGTTAAGTCTTCAGGGTGGGCCATTTATATGGATAAACCTTAATAAAATTGAAATGGTTGGTGATATTAACGTCCTGTTTGGGGCACATTAGTATATGTAAGGGGACAAACTTTTTAAGATGGGTGGGGACCATTTTTAAGTCAGACATCTTGGATCCAACTTGTTTTTTCAATAGGAAGTGGGTCATTTGACACATCAAACTGATTGGGAATTTCACAGGAGAAAATGGTGTGCTTGGTTTTAACGTAACTTTATTCTTTCATTGGTTATTTACAAGTTTCTGACCACTTATAAAAGTGTGCTGCCCATTGTGTTGGATTAGTCAATGCAACCCTCTTCTCCCACTCTTCACACACTGATAGCAACACCGCAGGAGAAATGCCAGCACAAGCTTCCAGTATTTGTAGTTTCAAGTGCTGCACATGTTGTATCTTCACACCATAGAGACTTGCCTTCAGATGACCCCAAAGATAGAAGTCTATGGGGGTCAGACCGGGAGACCTTGGGGGCCAATAAACTGGCCCACAGCGACCAATCCACTTTTCAAGAAACTTTTCATCTAGGAATGCTCTGACCTGGCACCCATAATGTGGGGCTGCACCATCTTGCTGCAAAAACTTAGCGAACGTGCCAGCTTCAGTGCATAAAGAGGGAAACACATCATCATGTAGCACTTTCAAATATCCAGTGACCTTGAGGTTTCCATGAAGAATAGCCCCACTATCTTTGTTGTCTATGGTGTGAAGATACTAGATGTGCAGCACCTGAAACTATGAATACTGGACGCCTATGCTGGCATTTCTCCTGTGGTTTTTCTATCAGTGTGTAAAGAGTGGTAGAAGTGGGTTGCATTGACAATCCAACACAATGGGCAGCAGATTGAACACATTTTATAAACTTGTAAATAACTCATTAAAGAATAAAGCTTCGAAAAATCAAGCGCACCATTGTTTTTTCTGTGAAATTCCCAATCAGTTTGATGGGTCAAATGACCCTCTTCCTATTGGAAAAAACAAAAGTTGGATCCAAGATGGCCGACTTCAAAAGGACCACCATGGTCATCGCACATCTTGAAAAGTTTGCCCCCTCACATACACTAATGTGCCACAAACAGGACGTTAATATCACCAACCATTCTCATTTTATTAAGGTGTATCCATATAAATGGCCCACCCTGTAGTTTTGCTCCTTGCGGTGCAATATTTGACAGAGATTTTAGTCAGTCACGGCAGAGTCAGGGAGAGAGCGCGCACAAGAGATTGTGTATGCACGTAAATGACACTGGCATATCTAATAGCTCATAGCAACACGTATTAGCTAACTCACCGCAAATATTTTTGAGCATATTTGTGAGTTGGTTGCCCAACATCAGCTCCCTAAGCGCTAAGGTTTGCGAAAAGCACATTTATTTCGAACTGTGATCAAAACTGTCTGGAACCACCTGTGCATTAAATGAATTTATTGACGAATTCACCTTTCCGCCAATAAGAATTAAGAATTTCAACAGACCATGGAATAAACACAGTATAAAACACTTTTGGATTACGGTTAAAAAGCATTATAGTATTTTATTTTATGTGAGGGCCTTCAGGGCATATATTTATAGTAGGATGCAAATGCGAATGTTTAAATAGTCATTGTTTGCTTTTCAGGTACCCTTGTGCCATTATAATGAGTGGTACTTTCACAGTGGTGCAATGGCCAAGCTTGTGGAGGACGTCCAGAAAGAGCTGAAGATTATAGCGAAAGACATTGCAGACAGGAACAGCCAGCTGGAGTTGCCCTATCCTTACATGTCTCCAGACTACATCGAGAACAGTGTGACGATTTGAGTTCATCGAATCATAAATTGAACAGTAATAGTGTAAGGCTACTTGTTTACAGATTGGCAAATTGGGCCCTGTTTATTTTAATTTTAAGAGCAGTGTTTGTCAATCTGATCATATATTGATGCAGCTAAATACACATGTAAGTCTGAAATGTTTTGAGCTTGTCAACTTTTGACCACTTATAGTAGAGGTTGTGGAAAACACATTATACTTTATTGCTTTTAATATGGAAATTTGGCCAGTACAGACAAATAATAGGCTGTTTACTCTCATTAACAACTGTGGGAAAGTGCAACACTCATTATGGGCGCCACAATGAAGGAAGTCTGCTTTCCAAGTAAGAATTGTCAATCTTTATAGCCTGGAAGTTCTTTTTTGGAAGGGGTGGGGGAGTGGGGGTCTATGCATATTAGCTTTTTCTGTCATTTGGAAACTATAGCATTCCTGCGATGAATCCCATCCCATAAGATATTGTCTCTTTTCAGTGTCGTCTTACAGTTTTTGTTACCACGTCCTCTTGTTGCCATTGAAACAGCTGTAAATGAGATTGGTTTGATTAGCTGGAATTAACATGTTTTAAACTAGCAAAAGTAATGACACTGGTCACAAAAGATTTTGTTGCTGATTTTAAATGTAATTTAATTGCGAGTTCAGTGAGCATTTAAGGTGTGTATCAACCAAAGCATTTTTGCGCAGCAGAATGGTGCTGCAATGGAAGCACTGTGTTTTTAAAACACCCGCTGTTTAAACAGGCACTGTGGATGTGTGTTTTATCCTGCGCACTCAGCTTTGGCTATGACAGCTGGAGAAGCACTCACGGCTGAGCATTTTTAGAACAGTGCTTGATTTTATGCAGATCAAAAAATGCTTTGGTGGAGACTTAGATAAGCAGTGCTAATATGGCTACTGAGTGAGCAGACTTTCTTTAAAGGGATGTTGGTTTTGATTACCTTTTATATAGGAAGTTAAATACAAATCCTGATATGAACATTTCTGAGCCCGATTCATTTTGGATGTACCAATATCGAGATGAAGAGAAATTGCCATCTGAAATTTCCATTAGAAAATGAGCATTATTCTCTGCCTCTTTTGTTTAGTTATTTCACTTTGAAGACCATGAAAAGTCTTATCTTTGCCATACACCTGAAATTGCTAAACCTACACACAGGAGCCTGATAAAAATGCAAATTTTAGAAGAAAATTTCAGACGGCATTTAGAGGTTTTTGCATCTGAACTCTTCAGATGTAGCTAGATAGTAGGTACCAACAACTATTAAGTCGATAATATTATAGGCTGATAAATACAAACCTTGATATGAGGTTTTGTAAAAGTCATGCATAGGCATGGGATGATAAGGTTTACAGCGGTTTTAAAAAAGCCAAGGTTTTATTATCGCAAAAAAAATCAGCGATACCATTCCTAAGGTATGTATAAGGTTTTTTATTATGTGTTTTTACAACTTTTTAATCATTTTTTTGGAGCAACAGTATCTACTGGTCAGCCCGTGATTCAGGAAACATCTGAAAAACAAATATACACCAACAGCAAACATACTATAGGCCTGAACAGTGCAGTTGCTTCCTTTATATGCAGAATTAAAAAAGATATCTAAAAATGCCTTTTCAAGTTGTAAAGTAATCTGTGTTTTGAAACTAATAAGACAGCAAAAGTAATTTAAAAAATAATAATAATAATATTGTGTTCAATAGGAGGGAAAAAATGTTGTTTTCTAGCCAAACATTTAAAAAGAACATATTTTAGGGCAGTAATCAAAATACTGCCATACTGTGAAACCGTGATATCTATTTGTTTTATATAGTCAGAATCTTATAGCGGCCGATGGCTAGTCATGCATGACATAGGTGGAAGAACAGAATAACTTTTATATTTTAACTTTTATACAGGGTGTGTGATTTAATTGTTGCATGTTTGATTTGTAAAAAACATGTGACCTTTAAAATGTATGAGTATTTGTGGTTAAAAAGTATACAGATTTATTTATATTTAGAAAATACCCAATAATTTTAGTAAATTACGTCCTAAATCTGGACAATGAACATCTTGCTGTGTGACCATTGCTGTCTATAGAGGATGAGGAAGCTCTCCGATTTAATCTTAAATATCCTTGTGTTCTGAAGATGAATGAAGGTGACAGGGGATTGAAAAGACATGAGGGTGAGAAATTAAAAATTATTATTAACTGTGTTTTGCATAGTTAGAGAAACTTGAAATGTTATGAAAAAAGGTGGACAATAAAAACAAATATATTCTCTTCTCAACTGAGATTCACCTTGATTTTTCTTTGTTCTTTCCTCTCATCGCGTCTCATATTTTATATCTCAAGCATTCTCTTTCCATATAGCCTACTAAAAAACAGATAATAATGTTTATATCATGTCATGAACACCTCAGTCAGATGTAGTACATTTTGATGTCTCATATTTCTCAAATTTCATATCTCAAGCATCCAACACTTAAATGTCTGGAATTAGACAAATGTAGAAAAATAACATTGATGGAAAAAGCTAAAATCTTCTTTATTGTGCGCTGAAGGATTAAATGAATTAAAATTGATTGAAAACTGAAATTAAAGTAAACACTTAAGTCACAGTTTGATTTTAATGATATTGCCAGAAATAAATATGTTAGAAATTATAGATTTGAAATGACACTATACATCCTACAAAATCTAGTACATGAAAAGTGTCTAAATGTAAATATTGTGAGGCCACATAATGGGCTATATGCACACAGACTTTTGATTTTCAGCCAGGCAGCCCAAGGGCTTCCGGTGAACCGTATTTCTATTACAAAATTGTCATGTTTAAGATCTGATTTCTTTAAGAATCAGCGATCTTCATTGCCTGTTAGGTATACGATATGAAGTGGGTCTCAGATCGGCCAAGAAGCCATTAAATTTCATTTCCCCCCGCCATGTGTTTAAAATATGCCAGCTTATTTTACCCCAGTATTTTCAATGGAATTTCTGTGGAATTTACTGACGGCACTAGTGATGATTACAAAGGTCTTTCATCTTGTTTTATGCTTGAACAACTAAATTAATGCTTAAGTCCATCTAACTAACTGTATAGAGAAATTACCAACCAACGTCACACATGATGTGACACGAGTTCCCAGTTGCAAAAAAAGACCGGTTGCAATAGCAAATATGTCTTGTTGTGCTGTAGGATGCCAAATTCAAAATTTTTCCAAAGTCCAAAAATAGAAAACTTAACTTTTACCGTACACCACACTGCTTTTAATGCCAACCACAATAATTTTTGGCTGAAAGAGAGCTGAAAAGGTGTGAGGACCTAATTAAAAATGCTCAAGACTGCAGTTCTCATTACTCTGCAGTTACTCCTTTTGGATTACAGCAATGATTTCAGCAAAAACAGTTAAACATGGTTAATTAATCTGCAGACACTGAAGGCTTAGAATGAAATGTAAAAATGTAAGTTCACATACCCTGCCGTACAGGTGCAGTTCGCTGTCAGAATGCAGTAGTTTTGCTTGTTGATGATTAATTACCCAGGCCTTGTACAGTTCCGTCTTCTTTCCTTGTCTTTGAGTAGACAGAATCTTGACAGAAATCATTATTTCTTGCACATGACCACACAGAACAAAATTGTTGGCATCCAAAGACTCAGGCCTTTATCTTCTCTCTTGTAAAATCACTTGGAGCTTCAATGAGATTGTATATTTCAGGCTAAATGCTTGGCCATTTCGTCTTATCCAATATCCATTGGGAGGGTGCTACCGCAAATGGACCTGTCAGATGTATGCCTCTCACTTTATCGTTAATTTTGCTGAATAACTGTGCTTATCACCGGATGAGAAGCTGTTATAATACGCTGAAAGCATTGTCTAAATAATATATATATATATATATATATATATATATATATATATATATATATATATATATATATATATATATATATATATATAATATGTAATCAATATAACTTATTTCTTAAAAAACAAGTACCGTATCGAATGTCATTCCCTTGCTGTAAATGCTAGTGTTCCCGTTTTTTTCTGCAACCTGTAAAAACAACCTTGTAAAATTAAAAGTAGTTAAGTTTTCACTGGAAGTTTATCGTTGGCTTTTATTATCTGTGTATTATCAATAAATACATAAAAGTTGAGGGCACGTTATTTGTGTTCCCGGTCAAAGGGGGCGGTGGTGTTCAGAACACCTGTGTGGAAACAGTCAGAATTCGGTCAGAATGCAGTTCTGCTCGGTGCCGCTTGTGACGCACTTTTCTTTTTACCGAGCACGCTTCCAACGGCCATCCAACAGACGGCACCTGTCCGTACATCTAAAGTCATTTGAAGGTATTTGTTAACGGTTTAGTTACACTGGATAACGTTAATCAACTCAGTTAATAAAGGCAATGTCAAGTAAAAGATTTCGGTATTAGGTAATTATTTGTAACGAGGTCAACTCGCAACTCATGAACTAGCGTTAGGATTTTCACGTGTGTAGCAATCGTGTAACGTTGCGTTTCGCATGTGAAGTCAAATTTGTAATTTAAATCAAATTTAAAAGTGTACAGTATGTTAAAAAAATCGTAATACTGAGTTTCATCGACAGTCTCTGTTTCAGAGTGTCATGTCATCGACAGGAAACGTTAGAAGGTGGTTGTTTCATTTTGATATATTTCTTGCTTAACTATAGTTATTTTTGTTGATGTGCACGTTGTTGTCAGTTTAAAATGAACAACAAGGGCTACTTAATAAGTTTAAAATACTTTGCCATGCCCTCAAGACAGTAAAGTATACTTTATAACACGAATGCTGCCATTATGTTGCAAGTATTGTGTTATTTCACGCAATCGGAGCAGAACCTATTAATCCTAACATTAATGTATAAAACGTTTAAAGCTGCTGTGTATATCAGGCTTTTAAAAACATCCTAGCAGTCATTAACTTCTCGGTGGTAGATAATTTTAAAAAGCAGTGTTGGACCACAAGGCGGCGCAATAGATCAACTAATTTATCATGAAGACGATGTAACAAAATTCATTACCACACTAAATCAATATGTGTTAGGTTCACGATTTATGACATGAAAACTTGGCACATTTTTTAGTTCGGTGTTCCAAATATCATTGGATATTTTTATATTATTAATTATTAGTTTG